CACGAAAAATATTGACCTTAGAGCGCGCTTCTGCAGAATGAGCAATTTATCAGTAAGCTTTTTGCAAGCTTGRCCCCAGGTACATATTCCATATATCAAGAGCGGCTGTAAGAGGGATTTATACATTTTGATTAGAGTATTTTTTGGAACAAAATGTCTCAATCTGCTGAGAATACCCACTATTCTACTTACTTTTTTGCTTATATAATCAATATGAGGCTTCCAAGATAATGTACTATCTAATAAAACACCAAGATATTTTACACAATCCTTTTTTTCAAGCTGTATATACTGGTTACTTTTATAATCCAAGATTTTAATGTTCAATGAATGTTTTGGTTTGTTACGAGCTGAATGGAATAAAACAAAGTTTGATTTTTTGATATTTATGATAAGTTTGTTTGCAGTGAACCAATCATGGAGCTTTGTTAGTTCATTGTTCATTTCCTTTTCAAGGGTTTTTAAGCATTTATTCGAGTGAAGTATATTTGTATCGTCTGCGAAAAGATGAAATTTTAAAATATTAGAGGCCATACTAATATCATTTATGTAAAGGAGAAAGAGTAAAGGACCTAATGTAGAACCCTGAGGGACCCCAAAATTAGTTGCTTCTTTATTCGATATATGATTACTAACACTAGTAGTTTGAGTTCTCTCAGACAAGTACGACTTAAACCAATTATAGACGCATCCTCTCACGCCATAAATATAAAGTTTTTTCATGAGAATGGAATGGTCAACAGTATCGAATGCTTTCGCTAAATCAATGAAAACTTCACATGTGTATATTTTGTTGTCCATATTATGTTGTATTGTACTAATTACATCAAGAAGTGTATCATGATGTTGTGTGGAGTGATTGTGGAGTGATTGTGGAACAAACGAACGAACGAACAATCAAGCAAACAGAACGACAGACAGAGAGCACATAAGCAAGTAAGCAAACAAACAACGCAACAAACAGAACCACAGATAAGACAGCAACAAGTATAAGCAACTCACTCAAATAAACAGACAAGAGACAGACCAACATACGAACAATCAAAAATCAACCCAATGCAAATCATAATCTGCTGAACCTGCCAGAAGATTTATAGTAATGTTTTCAGTATCACTCCTTGGTAAGTATGATTAAAGATCATAGCCTGTAAATACCTGTAACAAATTTCCTTCCCATTGCACGGGGGTCTCTGCGTTAAAAAAAAAAATGCAAATTTAATCATATAGAAAATATACTTTTGCAATAATTTTTAGTCAACTATATCCTGTCTATGTCCTTAAAGCAAGGCAAGACTAGGCAAGCAAAAATAGAAAAGGACTATGATATATATGTTATGGGACGACCGCTCTCGGTACGAGCTCCGGGGTCTTTATTCCACTTTCTCTGACTCTCTTCTTCATCTCTTACTTAAACTAATTACATGAGCTCTATTTATAATAACTTCATGACATGTGTCAGTCTTCAATCAATATGATATTATCGCTGTGTCTTGATTGGCTAAAGGAATTAGTAAATTCCTAAGTGTGATATCTTAGATTAAAGAGTAATGCGAGTAAAAATCTTAGAACTAAACATAGCTTAAGCTTAAGTTAATTATAAAAGTCTACGAGGAATATTTCTATCATAAGATTTAAAAGAATAGTGCTAAAATAACTAAGCAAAGGTGTAAAGAGTGTGTAGGGCGTTACCAGAGGTGTACATGCTAATGCGAGGAGCTAAAAGGTTCACTTGTAAATTCAAAGCATACCATTATTTAACCTTGTGCGTGATGGTAGCCTTACTGAAATCTTATATCGATATTTTTAATAGCTAATTGATCGTTCTTTATCTTGTTTTCATACGATAAGAAATAGTAATAGTAAAGTCTGTAAAAACATTAATTTTCTCTCTCCTAACATGTTTTCTTGAGATAGCTAGTAAAGAATTTATCCCATTTACAGTATACTCGTGTATACAGCTGTTTCTAAAGAGGTTGGTGAAGTTTTTTTTTGTCAGCGCAGAAGAAACTATGTTGCATAGAAAAACGTGTAGACAAAGTTTGGTAAAATTTCACTGTCGTTGTGACCTTTCGCTGATTGAATTCACATTGCCCTCAGCGACATTCAACGTGCAACTAAACCTTTAAATAACCTTTTTTGAAATAGCTGTATATGTTACACAGCTAGTAACATACATGAAAAAATTACTCAATTCTGATTGGCTTGGAGCAGTGCTGTTCAAACATATAACACAGTGTAAAAAAGGGTAGTACATTGCAGTAAAGTGTAATACAGTGTAAATATAACAAACATAATTCTCGCTTTTGATTGGATGATAATAGCCAATAAGATGACAGATAATTGTGACGAAAAAGATGAGGATTTAATCGTAGAGTGTTGAGGTGATATCTAATTACGAGTGAGTAAAGTGATATTCTCAGCACAAGAGACGGTTATGTAACATTCTGTTTAAAAAATAATTATCGATGAAATACAATTTTTTACTACTTAATAAGATTTTTAGGATATTTTTTTACATTTATAATTAAAAACTTTATTACCAACGAGTACGAGTGCTTGTCTCACGACGGGAAATCTTTTGACCAATTCGAGACTTTGGCACTTCACCACTACCGGACGCGTGTTCGGCACGTCCAGGCGAATCATTTTGCAAACAATCTTCAGTTTTTACCTGTTTAAYCGTACAATAAAAGGCTTTTTTTTGCATAGCATCACACCTGAAGGAGGTTCGCAGTCATTTCTATTTATATTACCGTTGTATTTCATTAAAAACGCTTGTACAAATCGATGGCAAAACAACCTCAGTCAGCGCTAGTTATGTTACGTAACAGACACTAAAAACGTCTGCGAAGGAGCCAAACTCAACGCGAGAACTACTTCTGTTATTTTGCGCAGTGCTTTTTATTTTCTATAACAAAATTGAATGAGGAATTTTTGTCCAATTCTTTTCGCATTTTTTTTACGTCTCGGTAATTGATCAGAGTGAACAGAGTTAGCGTATTTGAGTTTAAATCGACTCAAGTAATTATTCTCATCGGTTAGTTTCTAATCATAGTGCAAGATAAGGCTTCGGGCTATCTACTAACGATAACCGTGACGGGTACTCACCACAAGGCTGAGGTCTTTGCGCACTTGCAATCATTGCAAAAGCAACCAAACCAACCAAAGCGCATACCAACATCTTGAACATCGTTGTGCGGGTCAACTTTGTGTCACACTGATTGCAGTCAACAAATCTTTTCTTTTTATATCATGTTGTACCGGGCACATTCTTTCTAAACCAATCATGTCACTTGATTTGTTGGCAACTTTTTTGTGATTAACCAGATGTTGTATAGTGAGGAATTGCGGTTCACTGACATGAGCCGGGACAATGAGTCCCCGGCATGAGTCGGGCCAATCAAAGGGTGAGAGCGGGGATATCGTGAGAGAGTACAACTCAACCAACCCATTGCAATGAACTTGGAAGGCCATTCATTTGTGTGCAACATCAGCTCACTATTTTCCAGTTAGCGAATGTAATTTTTATGGTTTATTGTAGCGCAGGAATGTCAGTGTAATCACGTTTTCAGGATTATCTCACCAAGACTACAATACTTCCTTTATCTCGGCGACGATCGGCAACACACTAACAGTAAGATGTCATCACATCGATGATCCGATGATGGAAATGCAACACGGTACTATATTCATTTCACGTCGAAAGTAGCCAGGCGTTGTTCCCCACGAAGAACGTCTGGCTACGCAGGCTAAGTCGAAAGGCAAGTGGGGACAATCTGGGACACCGCCGACATGAAATGAAATGATATCATCCCAACTTTTCCTTGTTTATGGCCCTTATGAAGTCATTCAAGCAAATGCTGTTTTTCCCTAAATTTTGGTCAGATACAAAGAATACATTCGCACATCTATTTTCCTCGCCTGTACTCTTTGTGGCAAAAAGGAATAGACCTCTTCGGCTTGGGGTAATGTTTTCCCATTTCAGACCACGTGTCATTCCCTCGAGAATAAGATTCTTTGTTTGAGCTGTAGCCATATTCATGTGTCTTCTCATGTGCAACCGAGCGCAAACCTTAAACAAAGAAATGATACTCTAGGGAATGACATGTGGTCTAAAATGGGGAAAAACATTACGTCAGAGCCGAGGAGGTCTATTACGCTCATTTTCTTTGAAGCGCGACCCGCTCGTAAATTTCGACAAACAAGTTTTTAAAAAAGTATGATTTTAGTCGCCTGTCAATCAAGCTGTTCCTAAAGCCACTTGCAACTCGGACGGTTACTTACCGTACGACAAGAGAATATTAAGTAAGTATGTTAGGGGTAAGATTAATATTTTGAACAACGCGCGCGCGTGTGTGATTAAAATAGCTTATTTACCCCCAATGCATGACGGTCATCGTGATCATAATCCAATATGGCGGCAGTTCTGCAAAGAATCGAAAAACATGGCATTCCATCGGTAAGATCGCATTTCTCTTAATGATCTTTTTTTAAAAACCTTAAATCCATTTGATCTAGTTATATCTTTTGTTCTCGCGATCTTGTGTTAAGTATAGCTCTGAATTTCATTTTTACTCGCGAAGAGCTGATGCTAAATATCTAGCTTTTGAACCTTAAAAATATGTTTTGTTATTATAGAAAGGCGCAGATAAGCTTCAGTTTCCTTTTATTTACAAAATACATTTTTTTCGGAAAGCCTGTCGCTAGTGATTGAAAAACCACTAGGTTTATGTAGACATCTTGAAGTTGTTTGGGATAACTTGTCGTATAGTTACATGCCAAATATAAGCTGTTGGTGCATATATATTGTCTGAAAGCAAAGCGATAAAAGCAAAAAAAGAAAAGTGTTTAGATAAGTGTAAGCCATATACAAGAGCTTCTCACACTTCTGTAATGCTTTTGGCACAAAACATGCTGTTTTTTATACTTCTTTGAAAAACTGGCCACACACATATGGTCTCAGCATAATTGTGCTCTATTTACTAATACAGCACACTTCTTGACCAATCAGATCCTAAGTAGTGAGGTGAGTGGGCATGCTCTCCCATGAGAATAAAAGCTAGAGCAATACTTTCTGGCATTTTGGTTGTTAACAAAACATATTTGGCCCGACTCTTCTAACTTGGTTGCTTGCTACATGTACAGTGTAAATTTAAGAAAAGAAAAGAAAAAAAGAACTTAAATGTGATATCTATTGGGTGGACCAATATTTTTCCAATTTTTAAGATGCCATCTCATGTCAAAATTTAATCTCATAGACTTTAAAATGGCACAGTCTTTTGGATTGAGGGATCTGCCACAGTTCTTCAGATGTGTTTGTGATTAATGGATTGCTGGTAATAATAAAACTGTACTACACTTTCAAGATAGTGTCCGAGGAGTTGACCAAAGAGGGAGACTACATACGGAAGTGGTTCTTTGCTATTGGATAGTTTTTAACTGTAACTTTAAAAACTTCATAATGGAAGACATATTAACGAGCATGAGAAAACAGAGTGAAAATATGGAAGTAAAGCTTGAGAATTCTTGGGAATCAGAAGCTGAGTTTGACCATGTCGCTGAAGCTTCAAAATTGAATGGAAATATCTTATATTTTGATGGAAATACACCCAGTAATATAGAACGAGACTCACAGAAAAGTACTGGCACAGAGAAAAATGTGTTTTTGATTGATCTGGAAATTGGAAATAAAACTCTAAAAAGTGTTGCTGTCAGAAGTGACTGTTTATTACAAGATGTTGCTGAAGAACTGGCTGAAAATGAGATGGTCAAAGTTGTTTATTTTTTGCAAGAGAAGATCAAAAAAGGAGGTAGTAATTGTGATGCTTCAGAAGCACAAGGTATGTTTATTTCTAATTTTATTGATAGTTTGAAACAACCTCTGGGCTGATCTAAGTTACAGTAGTGCACAGCTAACTCACAGGTGGAACCCTGGAACAACCTCTGGGCTRATCTAAGTCARGGCATGGCTAACTCACAGATCAAATAAGAATTTAGCAAGTTAGGTTTTGTGGAGAAAGGAAAAGCAGAGAACCAGTAGAAAAAATCTCAAGTTAAAGGAGAGAACAAACAAACTTTACTTATTCTTTAATTGCATGTTACTTCATCATGGCCTCTAAGGGGAACGTTGGTGCCATTTCACAAAAGATTTCTAATTAGCATCCATTGTTAAGGGCATCAGAATGACCGCCATGCTTTGTCTTTTCACTTTCTTGGGAATGCTTGCAACCCATCAATATGTGATGCTGAGTCCAGGAATCAACCCAAAGACCCAAAGAGGTTTATTTGGTGGGCATTTCACGTTTCACATCTAACAATTTGTCTTTTAAATGCTAACGGTATATTTTTGAAAAAAGTTTTAGTAAAACTGAGATCAAATTGGAAATGGATTTGTATCGATGACCTGGTGGATGACACAACAGCAACATTTGAAGAAGTGTTTGCCAACATGCCTGACTACTTTAACCCCTTATTTAGCCTTGCTCCTTACATCAACAGGTAAATACGCATAACTGATTTTCTTGTCGGCATTTTGTTATTTACTCTGCAGCATCATTCTTATTCTCCACCTTCTATATAGAGCACTATATAAATATAATAATCATAATAATCATACTGTTACCAAGGTGGATATGAAATACAAAAACCCAAGGTGAATATATCATATATCCATCGAGGTATAAGGTATATAACTGCCTTAAGTCATCATTGGGGAAGTTTCGTAAAGCTGGGTTGATAACTAGATATTGACCTCCTCGGGAGGTAAATAACTAGATAACAACTTGGACATTATATTTGTTTAATTAAGTTGGGTGAATATGAAGGATAAAGACTGCCACTGAACAAAAGAAACTGACTCAATGATGACATAATACATTATTATCTACCTTTATATCTTTTTTTGGACTACAGTAAAAATCTGCAAGTAAGAACCTGGAAATTAAGGACTGGTTAGCCTCAAATTTGTCATTTATACTCCCTTTAAACAAGAACCTATTTAGCCTAGAAAATGAAAAACAGGTTCTTATTTTCAAAAATCATCATTTAGTGATGCAGAGTTGCTAAAAATCCTGCTTGAATGTGAATAATTTGTTTATTTTATATCATTCAGAAAAGCAGATTCCCATGGTGCACAGCAAGCCATACACAATCCACAAATAACCAGTGAAGATCAAGGTGCAGGACTTATAACAGAACTGAGACATTTGTTGGATAAACACAAGGTACATGAGCTGTCAAAGAAGGATTCTCAGTTGGAAAAGGTGAAGTTAACATATAATGTGTTTACTGTGCTATGTGCTGTACCATGAACGCTTCCACGAAATTTCATTACATCGATGTACAAGCTCCACCTATTGAAATATCAAAGTGAAGCATTGATACCTAATTTGTGAGTGATAAAGAGCACAATTAAAACTGGTCAAAGAGTTGTCAAAAAGATGTCAAAAATATCAAAAACTTGTGGATGTGTTGACAGTACGGTGCATATTATTAGTATGTACTTATTTATATTTTAATTTTAGTGACAAGTGTTCTAAAACTGTTTTACTTGTCACTCTGTAAAAAAATTTCAAGTTCTAATGTCTTACATTTTGCCTTCTTTAGGATGTTATAGCACATCTCACTTGTGTAGCACCACTTGAACAAGCAAGCCAGGACAAGATTGTCAGCTTAAAGAAAAACTTATGTGGATTATATAAATTATTGAATTCATTACAGTCAGTGACACCTAGAACAGAACAAGATGACTCCAACACGAACAGTTGCACAAATATACAAGACAAGATGTCTCAACATTGCGTCGGTATTCAGACACAAGAGAGTCACAATGATCAAAGTGCAATAGAAAGTTTTAGCGAAACATCAGCTCCACTCTCTCGGCACAGAACTTCGTTTGATCCACTTCATGAAGTGCCAAGATTAAAAGAATGGTTCAAAGAGGACCCCTCCCCAAACAAATCTGTGATTAACAGCTATGTTTGTGAACTTAATGCTTCAGAATTTCGACAAGGAAAAAGTCCTGTTACTGAGAAGGCTGTGTACATATGGTTTAAGAATACGAGAGCAAGAAAAGATAAAAACAGGCGTTCAAAATAGTAATAAAAACAAACAAACAAAAAACAAGCAAACATATTCAATATACCTTTTTACCACTATTGTGAATTTTCTCACTTTCTGATTGGTTTAGAGCCGGAAAAAAAGGRGGACACACTGATTAATTTACCTCAGCAAATCATGCATGCTGAAACCCCATTTTCCTTTCAAATTTTACCTTGTTTTTGTAGTATATGTTTTAATTTTTTGTGGTAAAAACAAAACAATTTCCTCCAGTTTTCCTTGGTATGTCTYCTCATTTACCACTTTTTTCGTCATCTAGCCAACAAATTATGTTGTGGACCCCCTCGGCTACTACTTGTGAGTCCACAACATTTTGATGGGTAGATGACAAAAATCGTGGTAAATAAGAGGGACATACCAAGGAAAGCTTATTTATACTTAGCTTAAAAAACTCATTAATAATTCATAAAGGAAACACAATAGAAATCATGACCATGAAGGTGATTTTATATCTGATATAGATTCGTCTTCATTTGCATAAACTTAAACTTGGATTTTCTCTATTCGGTACAATACGAAAACATACATCATGTTTTTTTAAGCCGTTTAATAAACTCACAGATGGTGTTTTATCGGGTCTAAAACCACTCGGCTGTCCCTCCGTCTATTAAACAGTACTTATACTCGATCGTGGAGAAGCTCATTCATGGGTTGAACACCCCAAAACGGTGTGAATGTTTACCATTCCCCCATTACATTATGTAAGCCTATTTAAATTAAGAATAAAATGTAATAAATATTTTTTTACTGATTAATTTTCTGTTTACTTTTTTATTTTCATTTGGGGGGTGGGGGAGGAATGAGCAGTTGTTATTGAAAATTAATTATGCTAGTGAGTCAGCAAGTTTTAAAGAAATTGCAAATGAACACATTGCATCCCTTAATTTCCCACATTTTCACTCTATCTTTTGCTTTCCTTTTTTTGATTTTATATATCCCATATCACAACTTCTCATGTTAGGATAACATCATGAGATGAAATCTGTTGCCTTTGTGTTTCGTAGATCACAAGCTTTTTACGTGTCCAGTGCATGGCAAGAATTGCAAGGAGAGTAATAGAGAAGAACAGTTTCAAACAGGTGTGCTGGTACTGAGTGCTTCCCTATGAGGATGATAAATGAACAGTCTACCAACTAACACAATTAACAGACAACAACCGTTATCATATTCATAATCATTAATATCATCGAAATCACAAATTATCACCACCACCATCAACATTGCCAACACCATGAATTACCTACCATCACCACCACTAT